TTTACCTCTTGCTTTTTACTTTTTTCCTTGCAGTTTATTAATTGAACCAACTAGATAATTTGTCTTATAGGATAGAGATGTTGATTGTGTCTCTAAGGGATCACTCAGCATGTTTATTTAACATGTTCTTTTTTTTTTTTGTGGTCCTGGGGGCTTGAACTCAGGGCCTAGGCACTATCCCTGAGTCTCTTTTTGATCAAGGCTAATGCTCTACCACTTGAGCCACAGTGCCACTTCTGGCTTTTTCTGAGTAAATAGTTTATTGGAGATAAGAGTCTCACAGACTTTTCTGCCCAGGCTGGCTTTGAACCATAATCTTCAGATCTTAGCTAGGATTACAGGTGTGAGCCAGTGGCACCTACCTCATGTTCTTTTTTTATGCTGTTATTCATTGCAAAATTATTGTTAGATCATTTCAGGCTTGATCAAATTCATATTCAATTGGCAAGAGTACTTCATGGAAGATGACAGGCACTTTGCTCAGAAGCACATAGGTTTGTCTCTAGTTACAATTGAACAGCTATTGATAATCATTACCTATGTCCATTTTTTTGATACTGGAGGATGTAAAAACAATGATATCCTGCTTCTTTGTTTTCATTTACTAACTATAATACTTCTATAAAGAGAAACTTTCCCTTAGTAGTATTTTCCCTGAGATTGTCTGTAATAACATAATCAAGACAAAGAATCAACTTCCTTATCTTTTTCCATTTTTAAAAATAATAAACAATATCTCCAATATGTTCCAAAAGTACTCAATAAGGATTGTTATAAACTCATAGATTTAAATATATGTGAAATATTTCAATATGTTGTGATTATTCTTTTCTTCCCAGTACTGGGGTTGAACTCAGAGCATAGGCACTGTCTCTGTGCTCAAGGCTGCCTCTGTACAACTTGAGCCATATCTTCTCTTCCAACTTTTTGCTAATTAAGTGAAGATAGAGTCCAGGATTTGTCAGCCAGGGGTGGCTTCAAACCTTCAACCTCAGTCTTTAGAGTAGCTAGGCTTATAGGCAGGAGCCACCAGTAAGTACCTGGCAGCAAAATAGTGTTTTAAACCTCATCTATCTTAAACTTCTCTTTTCTGCAATGCCACAGCCCTAAGTTACAACTATGCCTAATGCTCCCTTTGCTTCATCCCTTGGTACAAAGGCAACTGTGTTTGAATAGCAATGCCAGTGCTAATACTCTAAAATGCTAGCCAAATAACAACAAAACTCCAAAATATTTTTTCAAAAATTTTTGTCCTCAGAATATATCTCGACTAAATTAATTAACTCATTAAGAAAATTGAGGTAAGGGACAAGATTAGGAGGGATCAGGGAAAATAATGAAAGGGGTGAAACTGATCAAGATACATTGTATTCATAAACTGTTGAGTGACAAGTCCTTTGTACAACTATTTAAAGATAATAAATATTTTTTAAATATTTAAAAGAATGCATAAATAAGTAATTATTAAATAATGACACTTCAAAGCGGCCATATCATGTGGGCTTAATATATAGTGTGTGTTTTGCTTTGCTTTCAATTTTTTAATTTGTGTGTGTGTGTACGTGCACACGCGCGGGCATGCACACACGTGCAAACACACACACACTAAAACTGGGAATCTGAACTTATTTTTTTCAATCACTCACTTTTTCACAAGGTTGATACTCTATCACTTGAACCTTGATTCCAGTTCTGGCCTTTGACTGGTTAATTGGAGATTGGAGTATCTTGATTTGTCTGCTTAGCCTAGCTCCAAACTTCAGTCCTCAGATATCAGCCTCCTTCGTAGCTAAGATTATAGGTATGAGACTCCAATATCTAGCTTAATTAAATACTTTTCATAATTCTGTACAATATATGTATCTTCCTCCCACATCAATTAAGAAAATAACTAGTTACGAAAGTCTGTTTCTATCCCTGTTCTCTACATACTGTTTCCTTCAGCACAGGTAATCTGCTTTCTTTTGATTGAAAATAAAAATAAACGTGTCTTTATATTTGCACCACCCTTGACTCTATTAGATGAATAATTGCCTGCACTAAATACTTTCTTTGCTTTCTTTCTTTTACTGAACAATATATCCTGGAGATCATTCTGGACCACTATGCAGGGATGTTTCTTATTCCTTTCTGGAGTTACATAGCCTTCCATGGAATGAAGGTACCAAGGGTTTTCAATCCTTTATTAAGGAATATTTGAACATTTACAGTTTTTGTTATCATAAACAGGAGAGTATACACTAGCTTTACATGCACATCTTTTTTTTATATTTTCTAGGTTTGAATGGAGAGTAGGATTTCTAGACTAAAGGGTAAACATGTACTTAATATTGCTAGACATAACCCAACTCCCCTCATAGGAACTGCAACATTTTTCCTTACCTGAAATGTATGAGAGCACAGTTGTTTTCTTCATAGTAGTGTACCTGAGTATGTTGTCGTAATTCTGGATTATTGTCAAGAATTTGATAACTGAGAAATTGTATAGGTTGGGTCATAATTTGCATGTCTGAGTAAGTTTGGCAATCTTTTTAAAATAGCTTTGAGGGTCACTTGTGTCACTTTTTTGTGAAATTTATTCCATATTTCGGTATACTTTTTGCCAGTCCTGGGGCTTGAATTCAGGGCCTGGGTACTCTCCCCGATCTTTTTTTGCTCAAGGCTAACATTCTACTACTTGAGCCCCAGTGCCTCTTCCAGGTTTTTCTGTTTATGTGGTACTAAGGAATCGGACCCAGGGCTTTATGCATACTAGGCAAACACTCTACCCCTAAGCCACCTTACCAGCCATCTGTATAGTTTCTATATAGTTGGTCTGGTGTTTTTATTCTTTTCTTTTAAAAGTCCATTCACAATGTCATAAGTTGTAAAGAATACCAAGTTCTCATCTACATTTTTACTTGGAGTAGAACTTTATTTTAGCCATTCAAAAACTTTGTTTGCCTCCAGTTAAAAGTGCCTTTATTTTTATTTTATGTTATTTTTGTACTGGGTACTAAGGCTTGAATTTAGGATCTTACGTTTGCTGTGCAGGTTGTCTATCACTTGAGTCATGACCATCCCTTTTTGGCTCTATTTTTCAGATAGGAGATCCTGGTTTTTTCCCAGGGCCAGCCCCAAACTGTGATCCTCCTACATTTGGCCTCCTGAATACCGAGGATCACAGTCATATCACCATGTAGGACTTGCTGATTAGGATAGAGATTTCACTAACAGATGCCCAATCCTCAATTCCCAATCCCTGTGCCTCATGCCCCCTCCCCAGCTGACCTCAAATCATGATCCTCCTTATCCCTGTCTCCCAAGTAGTTGCGGTTACAGGTGTGAACCACTGTTCCTGGACTATAACAATGTCTCAATACCTAAAAGTTCTTTCTCTACCCATTAGAATTTATTACTGTGCTACATAATTGGTATTGTTTGCTTATACATTTCTTTTATTATTATTACTGTTATACCCAGGTCACAGGACCCCCCACCAAGAAGACCACCGAGAGTCAGACTCTACAGCTATTTTAAGGTTTTACTTAAACGGGCTGCAGCTCGGGCCTTGTCCTACACTCCGACACAGCAGAGCCTAGGAGGAGAGCCCCAAGCTAAAGATTTGCAGGGGTTATAAAGGCACACAACAAACCAGGTGTTTGGATTACCACCACGTGTTGCTGGGCTAGACAGAATTTCTTAGGTTTAGTTTAAACAAGCAACAAGTGGTCACTGCCTCAAAACTTTAACCCTTCAATTACTTCTTCACTTTAGCTCTCTTTGGGTTCCTTTGTAAATCTTTGTCTAGATTTTAACTTCATTTGCATTTTATTAATGTAACTATTTCATAAATTTCCATCTGCAACTATAAAATATATTTAAATATTTTTTGACAGTCCTGACACTTGAACTCAAGGATAGCACTTTACCATTTAAGTCAGTGCTCCACTTCTGGCTTTTCTGGTGGTTAATGGAGGTAAGAGACTCAGACTTTCCTGCCCCAGCTGGCTTCCAATGGCAAGCCTCAGATCTCAGCCTCCTGAGTAGCTAGGATTACAGGTGTGAGCCACCAGCACCCAGCAACTGTAACTTATAGATCCTGCAGTTTCACCCCAAATTTTCTTCTTTAAACCGAGTTATTTATTTTTACATTCTTGAGATTTTTCTAAGCCCTTAAATTTGTTTTTGTTGTTGTTCGCCATACTGGAGTTCAACATCAAAACATTGTGTTTTCTGGGCAAATGCTCTACCATTTGAGCTATGCCTCCAAGTCATATTTTTGTTTCTTAGATTTTTTTTCTCTTCGTGCTCTAAGATACAATTTTCACAAATGTTCCACGTGCTATTGAAAGCTGACCAAGGCCCCTAAACTATATCAAAACCTAATTCTTAAAATATGTGATTCAATCTTGTGAGGAAAAAGGCCCGGTGCAGATGTGACATTTAAGAAATACATTTCCAAATTACCATCATATCACAATTTAAAGGCTCCACAAAATACACCACATGTTAGAAATTCTAAGGGATTGAGAACTCTTCAGTGTTCAGTCTGTTTGAATTCACAGAACCCAGATGCCTGAGCCACACTAGGTGAAATTTCTCTTCTCATTATAAAGTCTCAGCCTGCCAAATAAGTGAACAAGTTAAACTGTCAACCAATCTGCTGTGGGAAAGTTTGCAAAAGCAGGGCGCTGGTGGCTCACACCTGTAATCCTAGCACTCAGAAGGCTGAGAGCTGAGGACGGAGGTTCAAAGCCAGCCCGGGCAGGAGAGCCTTTGAGACTCTAATCCTCCAATTAGCAGTGGAACTCTGACGTCACCGCTCCACCTGTCCCACTTCCTCCTCAGGCCCCGCCCCTTCCTCTGACCCCGCCTCTGGCGCGCAGGCTCCGCCCGTCACGCCTCTCTCCGTTCAGCCAATCACAGCCGGCGTTTGCGGAGGTTGGGCTTCTCTCTCCGCCAATGCAGGAAGTCTTGGCAGCCTCTGTCCCGCCCCTGTCAGCATCTGGGACCGGAAGATGGCGGCGGCCGCGGAATTGAAGCTGCTGGAGAAGTCCCTGGGGCTGAGTAAGGAGAATAAATACAGCGCCCAGGGCGAGCGGCAGGTGAGAAGCAGAGGCGGCACGGAGGGCAGCCAGTGGTCTGGAGTGGGGTCTGTGGAGCCCAGGCGGCGCGGCCCGGCTGGCGGGGCCCCGGCCCCCGCGTGTGGGCGCCACGCTGCGGTGGCGCCTTCCCCGCCTTCCCCGCCACGCTGGCCCGGACCGGGAAGGAGCCCCGCAGGTCGGGGTCCCCCGGATCGTCCGGTGATCCGTCAGCGTCCTGTTCTGGACAAGCCCCCCGCAGACCCCGCGCCCGCCTGGGGTACAGTGCTCACCGCCGGCGCTGCGTGAACGCCCGGCCCGGCTCCCGGGTGCTGGGCTCGGCCCTGGGCCCGGGGGCCTCGGCGGGGACACAGGGGACACCCCCCCCCCCCGGGAAGCCCACCTTCCGGTGGACCCCGTGGCATCGAATTGAATTACAATAGGAAAGAGTGTGGTCCAAGGTGGCGGGATGGGTTGTAGGCTAAACCCGGGGCGTTCTGGACAGGGCTTTCTGGGGCCGTGTGATACCCAGCGCGGGGTGCATTGTGCGGAGAATGAGGGAGTGAAACGGGTAAGGACTAAGCACCCAGAGGCATGGAAGAACGTTTAGAAAAATCTATGGAAGAAAGCAAATGGTTGTAGGACGACTACCTTGCCCTGTGAAAGGAGAATGGAAGGCCTCGATGGAAATAAAATCAAATCACGTGCCTTCCATCTCGGCAACTAATTGCCAGCTAGAAAAATATATGAGCGAGAAGCTGTACACACACACACACACACACGTCCTAGGTCTTAAGACATAAGCTATTTCCCAGGAAAACCAGACCGATGGGCTCACTGTATCCTAGGAAAAAAATAGCCATTTTAAATGTTTCAGAATGAAGCAGTTTCACCTCTGACCCAATCCAGTTGTAGAAATTTTAACCGACCAAAGCCAATAATTTTTATTGATTTTTATTTTTGCCAGTCCTGGGGCTCAAAACTCAGGCCGTGGACACTATGCCTGAGCTTCTTTTGCTCAGGGCTAGCTAGCACTGTACCACTTGAGCCACAGCACCACTTCTGGCTTTTTCTTTTATGTGGTACTGAGGAATCGAACCCAGGTCTTCATGCATACTAGGCAGGCACTCTACCACTAAGCCACATTCCCAGCTTTCCAACAGTCTTTAACCGTGTCCACACTCCTACCATAGGATAAAAATATAATGGCCTAGTCTTTGAACCCACTTGGGCTTGAGTTTCCCTCTTGTCCCTCTGTTGTGAGAGCTGTATTGTAACCTCCCAATAAAATTTGCTTGCCTGCTTCTTTGCTGTTCGTTGAGTCTGGGATCAGTCATTTCAACTCAGTCTAGCTGACATTGTTTCAGTATTAGGTTTTTCGGGGGTTTTGGAGTTTTTTGTTTTGTTTTGGTGACTTTTAAGTTTTTGGCATTTTTTTCTTTATTTAGTCCATGTTAAAATCCTGTTCTGAGCAGTTGCCAGTGGCTCATGCTTGTAATCCTAGCTACTCCAGAGGCCGAGATCATAGGGTTGCCATTCAAAGCCAGCCCAGGCAGCAAAGTCCCAGGAAATTATTATGTCCAATTAACTACCAAAAAAGCCAGAAGTGAAGCTGTAGCTCAACTAGTAGAGTGCTGACCTGTCCAAAGACAGCACACAATTCCTTAGTTCAAGCCCGGAAAAACCAGCACAAAATAGTATTATGAGTTTTACACATAAGATGACTCAAAGCCTGAAAAATGACTTGTCTAAGATATGCCCTCTTATGCATGAAGCCCAGATGGCTTGCTTGTGCTTTTTCCAGTGTTCTGGTGTTTCTTTCTTACCTGACACCACTCTCTGCTTTAGATTATTACTATTTTTAGGACACACTGCAAGATTTGGCTATTATCTAATATGAGAAACAGTCATTAATAGAGTGGGTAGAAAAGGTGTAGGGTTGAGGGCCGTGAAAGATGTATAAAACCAATGAATTATTGTAAAATTGGGGGTAATAGGTAAACTAACATAGGAGTGGGACAATGGAAGATTAACCCAAGTTCTAGTATGAAGCCCAACGCTGAGATTTGGGAATTCAGAATGTGGTATTTGTGGGTTTTTTTTTTAATGATAATTACTTAGCTGTTGTTGGTTTTTATTTTGTTCTGTTTTGTTTTGTTAAAACTGGGGCTTAAACTCAGGGCCTCATGTTCTCCCTTAACCTTTTCCCTCAAGTTTGGGGCTCTACCACTTGACCCATGCCTCCACTTTCAGGTTTTTTTGTTGTTATTGTAGTTGTTAATTGGAGATGATCTAAAGGATATGTCTGCCAGGGCTGGCTTCCAACCATGATCCTTAGGTCTCAGCATCCTAGGTAGCTAGGATTATGGATGTGAGCCATCTACTCAGCAAGAGTATTTTTGTTCGTTTTTGTTTTAATTAAGAGATTTTAGTGCTTGGCTGATGAGTTTCTGTTTGAATGGGTATAGGGATCAGTGCACTCATCCAGTGCTGGAAGAATGATTTCTTCAATTATGATGCATCAGCTGGGCACTGGTGGCTTGTACCTGTAATCCTAGCTACTCAGGAGGCTGAGATCTGAGCACCATGGTTTCAAGCCAGCCCAGGCAGGAAAGTCTGTGAGACTTAATTCCCAGTAAATTACTCAATAAACAAACAAAATAAATAAATAAAATTATGACATATCAACATGTTGGATTGTTACAGTGTAGTTATTAAAAGTGATGACTGAGCCAGGCTTGGTAGGACATACCTGTAATCTCAGTTATTCTCAACTATTCAGAATTACTAGGACTAGCTGAATTTGAAGTCTCTTAGTTGAAACTCCATGTCAAAAACAAAAAGGTAGGAGGTATAGCTCAAGTGGTAGAGCTTTGCTGACAAGTCCCAGGCCTTAGGGTAGAAGCCCCAATACCCATAAAAAAGTGATAACTTTGAAGACCATAGAACCCAAAGATTGATATGAAATAATAGTATGACTCCTTACAGTGAAGCATCTATGTAGGTCTGGCCAGTGAGTTGTGTGAAGAAGTGACATATTCCACTTCCACACAGGAACATTGGATAGCTGGTACAGATAACTCTAGTAGCCTAAGTCCTGCTCTGGTATTATGCAGGCCCTTCATGAAGAGCTGCCCCAAGATGGAAGAAACCAGCCGGAATTTCTGGGCCACCTCTCCAGATGGTCTCCCCAAACATCAGCAAACTTTCAGTAAGAAATAAACTTTTATCAGATGGGGAATGTGGCTCAGGGGTAGAGTACTTGCTTAGCATGCACGAGACCTTGTGTTCCATCCCCAGTACCACCAAAAAAAAAAAAGATGTGGAGGAGAAGAAATTTAACTGTACTAAGCCACGATTCCGGACTCAAACTCATGATCCTTCCACTTCAGCCTTGTGAGTGCTGGTATTACAGGAATTCACCACCATGCCTGGCTTGGAATTAATACAGTATTAGGATTTCCATTTTTTTCATATGGTACATACATAGTTATAAACAGCATAGCTATAAATATAGCTGTAAATGGCAGTAAAATTACCATTATTGTAATCAAGCAATCTGTTACCAAATTGTAAAATATATAGCCGCTATTTTTATTTACTTTCATTTGTATGTAATTTAGTGTTTAGTGTAAAAAACTATAGTATTTGAAAGTACAGTTTAGGAATATGACTAAGTGCACTGTCATGGTGGCTTTTATTTTTTGTAATTCATATGGAGAATTTTTTTTCCTTTTAAGATTCCAGTTCTTCAAACAAACAATGGTCCAAGTCTAACAGGATTGACCACTATAGCAACTCACCTAGTCAAGCAAGCCAACAAAGAGTATTTGCTGGGGAGTACTGCAGAAGAAAAAGCAGTAGTTCAGCAGTGGTTAGAATACAGAGTCACTCGTGTGGATGGACATTCCAATAAAGAAGATATCCACAGTCTGTTAAAGGTATCATGATTGTCTTTATAGAGTGGAATGCACAAACTAATAAGCAGTCTTCTCTTTAGGTTCTGTTCCTACTTCGGTTGGTTATCTGTACTGTTCCATTCTGCTTTTTTCTACACTTCTGCAGATCTCAGCTCAGATACCTCTGCTCTCGGCCACATGTAGTTCCTTGTTCTGTTTGCAGTTAGTGTCCTGTGTCCTTCCTTCCAATACTTGTTATCCTTAGTTTTGTATGAGTGTGTATGTGTATATGTGTATGTGTGTGTGTGAACACAAGCATGTATACATGTTGGGGCTTGAACTGGACTTTTATGCTCAGGGCTAGCACCCATTCTAGCACTAGAACCACAGCTCTACTGCTAGCTTTTTGATGATTAGAGAGAAGAGTCTCATGAACTTTCCTGCCTGGATTGGCTTTGAATCTCAGTCCTCAGATCTCAGCTTTATGAGCATAAGCATGAACTACCAGCACCTGGCTTTGTATGATTTAATTTTTTTTAATGTGATGCTTTAACATTTACTTGTCTCATACAGCAGTCCTTATTCCCTGAAGGATATAACACTTTCTCTGAGGCGAGAGGGAATCACAGTCTTTTCAGATTGTAGTATGGAAAAATTGCCTGGATTGGAGAAAGTATTCCTTTCTTCCCCTTGGGAATCATTGCTTTAAATAAATGTGGTACAGAAAGATCCCTAGAATTCTGTTAAGAGATGGAAATTGTTTATTATATAATATGTATTGTCACATGCAATAATTATATATTTCTATTTTTAAGTCTCTAACAGGAACATGATTTAAATAAAAAAAAACTGGACTCTGAAATAATCAGATAGTACTTTCTAATATTTTCTTTTTCCTTAAAATGACGATAATGGTTAGTCTTTAATGAAATGGTTGGCATACTATTTTTTTGGGGGGTGGGAGTCCAGTCGTGGGGCCTGAACTCTGGGCCTGGGCACTATCCCTCAGCTCTTCAGCTCAAGGCTAGCACTCTACCACTTGAGCCACAGCGCCACTTCCGGCTTTTTTCTTTTTGCTTATATGAAGCTGAGGAATCGAACCCAGGGCCTCAGGCATGCAAGGCAAGCGCTCTACCACTGAGCCACTTTCCCAGCCTCAGGTTGGCATACTATTTATGACTTTTTTTGTCTATTAATATCAAAAATTAGATTTGCTAAATTAAACATTCATATTTGCTTTCTGATAGCCTAAATATTTCAAGTCATGATATGGTAGTTTGTCATTGCTTTTTTCCTAATTAATATTTTACTCTTTTTGTAGGATCTTAATTCATATCTTGAAGATAAAGTCTACATTACAGGAAATAATTTCACCTTAGCAGATATCCTATTGTATTATGGACTTCATCGCTTTATAGTAAGTATTTGAATCATTTTTGGCTTTTGTTTTTAGGTTTTTTGTTTTTCATTTCTATTGAGCTTAAATCAGGTATGTATTTTCAGTTTACAAAAAAAAAAAATGAAAGGACTTCTTTGGGACAAGGTCCTTTATGCAGAAATACTTTGTATGGATCCATTGGGCAGAGATGCTTCCTCTTCCTTGAACTACTGGTTTCTTGATTCCTTCAACAACTGTGACTTCTTTAACCTTCCTTGACTTTACTAATCCCACTCCACCTCCAGGTCTTGATTTCAGCAACCTATCTTCTCTGTACTCTTTTTCTCTTAGCTGTTTTAACTCCTTTTTTCTTAATCATATCTGAGGTAATTTGACTACCTTTATACTTCCTTCTCCATCTAAGGGGGACCATTGCTAACTTCATCTCCATCCTATTGGCTTCTTTACTGTACTGTGCAGTAGTCACCCTTCCCTATAATTTCCCAGCTCTTGATCAGTCCAAGTGAATGTCCTCATTTCTATAGCCATACCAAACTCTTGCTAGAGAAATCTCCAAACTAAAGATTGCTGCTAGTAAAAAGTTTCAGACAGGGGAGTTTGACTCTAGTGGTAGAGCACCAGCCCTGAGCAGGCAAGCCATGTGAGAATTCAGGGCGCTGTTTTCAAGCCCAAGAACTGGCAAAAAAAAAAAAAAAGGTTGACTACCTATTACAGCCAAGTTCACATACTAATTAGTCTCTCCTTCCTTCCAAGGACACTTCCATGCCTTTGTCAATTTTCCCAGGCTACATCCTATGTCCTCCTTTGTTATTCAACCAGAGCCTTCTTCCTCATTCACTAGGATATAGGTTTTCTGTTTGAATCCTCTCTTCTTGCTGCTGCTCCTACCTGTGTGCACAGCCTGATACATTAGTTTGGCCTCTTACCTCAGCCCCCCTTCATCTCCTAACCCTCTATGGGATCTTATCCCAAATTCTATTTATTTTCTTTCTCTTACCTACAATTTTGCCCTTGATCTACTTGGTCAATATCCTTACTTTAAATTTATTTACAATTATATGCTGCTCACTGTGTTCTTGGCACTGCTATTTATACCGTATAAGTGTTGACTTTTTATCCAAGAGCTAAGGACTATTATTATCTGCTGCTTTTACAGATAGGTTGCTGAGACAGAGGGAGGGCAGGTGCTTTCTTCTAGAACCGTAGCAGTTTGCTTCAAGTTTGTGCTTTCATCTTTCACCCCACGTGAAATATATCCTTTGCCACTACCAACTTTTTTCCCTGTAAGGATGTGGGGTTAACACACACACACATACACATTTTTCTGTATTTTACTCCTGATGTACTCAGTCCTCTCAACCTGATATTTCCAACTCATGGACACATCTCGCTCATGTGTTCCTTCCTGAGATCACACATGGCATTGTCCTAGTCTTTAATATTGCTGGCCACTGAACCAGTGTGTCTTACGACCATGTCTTGTCTTTCTCAGAATTAAGTACCTCCACATTCCCTATGAGTAAAATATACCTGCCCTGAAGATTCTTCTTCCAACTCCCAACTCTTTATCCTTGTTCCTGCTTTTATTTGTGAACCATATTTCCTGAGGCTTGCTGACTACTGAACTTTCCCTGCATAGCAGCCTTGCGTTTCTCTGCTCTTTTATATCCTGGTTTTAGTCATCTTTCTACCAAATTCATTTGTATTTCTTAAGTGTCTCTGGCATTGATTCCTTGGCTGAAGCCCTGTCAGCCTTCCAAGTGCTCCTTTCTTTTTAAATCTCCCAATTATATATACTGCTTTAGTCGCAGATTGTGGCAATTTGTATTTGAAACATTGTCCACTGCCATAATTCCTGGCACATTATATGGTAGGTCCTCCATAACATTGAACAAATTTTAACGTGTGTGTGTGTGTGTGTGTGTGTGTGTGTGTGTGCGTGTGCGTGTGTGCGCGCGCGCGCGCGCGCGCGCGCGCGCGCGTGTGCTTGCGTGCGCACCAGTCCTGGGACTTGAACTCGGGCTGGGTCCTCTCCCTGAGCTCTTTTGCTCAAGGCTAACACTCTACTACTTTGAGCCACAGCTCTACTTCCAGTTTTCTGGTAGTTAATTACAGATAAGAGTCTCCCAAGGGCTTTTCTGCCTGGGCTGTCTTCAAACTGTAATCCTTAGATAGCAGCTGCCTGAGTAGCTAGATTACAGATGTGAGCCATTGACACCTGGCACATGTGTGTATATTATAAAGAGTTTTATATGTACTTTCTCATTGTACCTTATAACAATGAAGGTGATAGTATTAGTGTTGTTGCTCTCTTTTTACAGAGAAGGAAATCCTTAGGAATGTTGAGTATGTTATACAAAGGCACAGATCTTAGGTTTTATGAGGTCTAAGACCCACCAGAGCCTTTGACTTAGTGTCTTGATGTGGGGAGAAGCCCTTGTAAACTGTACGCCTCTGCAATGATGTATGTATGATGTGGTTACGTTCTGCCCTCCACATCTTCAGGTTCCATATATGTACATTCAACCAATCACAAACTAAAAAACAGAACATTGTTTCTGTTCTGAACTTATGCAGACTTTTTTCTTATTATTCTCTAAACAACACAATGTTTCAACTACTTCTATAGCACTTATATTGTTTTAGGTGTTAAAATCTAGAGACAAATATACAGGTATTATGCAGATGCTGTACTATTTTATACAAAGAACTTCAGCGTCTGCAGACCTCTGTATCCACAGGGGCTTTGAGAAGTTTCCTGGAACCTCATAGGCACCAATATATTGTTGAGTCCCACTACTCAAGCCATCATCCCTTAATTTGGAATTACTTGACTTTACTAAGAACATTCCTCAAAGATCCCTAAGTGAATGTGTTAATTTCTCTTAACAGTAGTGTAATGGCCTCATTTATTGAGAGCCTACCACGTATGCTTGAGGAACACAAGAATTAAACAACTATTTTCAAGGAAGTATTCATCTCAGAATCAACTGTCTTATGAAAAACTGAAATCTAGAACTCATTTCTAGTCCAAGTATAATTTGATTACTTGGTGAATCATCATAGAAAACGGCCATGACTACTCAAGGGAGTTTTCATAGTTTCAGAAAGCTTATGCCTTACCTATAAGTAATAACTATATGATTTCTCATTCAATACAACTTTTGGCTACGAAAGAACACCTATTAATCATTTTACTATGATAGGAGTGGCATGATATGAAAGCTTCTATACTTACAAGGAATGACTCCATTTAAAATAAATAAAGGGAAGATCATGATGTCATGTTTCTTGTGTCTTTCCTACTTCTCAGCACAGGAGCTTGTACATGTTTATTGTGATTTACCACACTTAACTTTCTTTATCTAATTGCAATTCCTATCTTAGGTTGTGTATATGTAGTAAAAGTGTAATTTTCTATTACAATCTCAATATGATTAAATCAAAATAATTTTATTTAGTGTGAAGAAAATATTATTAGAACTGAAATACATTGATCACACTAGCTTCTTTTTATTCCAGTCTAGGTTCAATGTTTTAGTAGCTTGTTGAATTTAGAATGATGATGTAATCCAGCTTACCTCATTTCAAAACCCAAAAAGCCTCCAAGGTAAAGAGGATTTGCTGTTAAGATATCTAAGCTCGTCTCTCCTGGTGGCAAACCTATGGTCTTTGAGTGTGGAAGGGCCTATGAATTGACTTGAGCAAAGCTATGCTGCTGTGATTATGGCTACCTTCCCAAGGAGAACAAGAGCAGTTTATGTCTGAACAGCAACAAACTTGTTTGGCTTTTCTTTTTTGCCAGTCATAGGGCTTGAACTCAGGGCCTGGGTGCTGTTCTTGATCTTTTGCTCAAGCTTAGCACTCTATTACTTTGAGCCACAACCTTACTTGTGGTTTTCTGGTAGCCACTTGGAGATTAGAGTCTCAGGGGCTTTCCTTGCCTGGCTGGCTTTGAACTGTAGTCCTCAGATCTCAGCCTCCTGAGTAGCTAAGATTACAGGCATGTCCCACCAGCTCCGAGCTTGATTGGCTTTTTTAAAACACATTTTTTAAGCCCATAGTTTGGCTTTATGTAATCTTCTGAAGCTTAATGTTAGGAGAAATGTGTTATGACCAACAGCAGGCTAGTGAATTTCTATCAAGACAAAGGTCCGGCTTGCAGCATCAAGTTGTTGTTAAGGATAGCATTTCTTATTAATAATATGAATGCAGCTCTTACCAACCTCCTGTATATTTATGTCTGCCCCTCTAACTGGCTTATGTAGTTGGTCATATGCTAGGGAAAGGAAAGTCAAGGAGCTGGTAACATTTGTTTATCAGCAGGGTGAACACAGTTATAGTTCCATAGTGCAAAATCTAGTCTAAGCTGCAAATTTGTTTATAATTACAAATCTTAGTGCTTAGGAAGGTATTTAGTTTCAGGCAGGTTAAAAATGTTTCCTTCAGTCTTGCAGGTTAAAATTAGGGTTGCCTGGAGAATATTCAAGACAGTGCTAAATAGAATAATAGGTAAATTACTCTGTTAATCATTCCCTGGGGCTCTTACCTTGAGTCAAAGCATCCTTCCCACCCTAGTCCAAGACAGGCAAAGAAATGAATATATAAAGACTTTTAAGAACAAGTCTCACAGACCACAATGACAGGATTGTGCTACAATATTAAATAACATGTCAGTTCAGTTGAATACAAATATACAAAAGTATGAAAAAGTCGATTACTAGGTATTAAATTCAGGTAGAGAGAAGCAAAATCCAGATTGGCCACCTGCTTGTATTCTTCAGGTTCTTTGGCAGCATATTTATTTTGCCCTCATTCATTCCTCCACTTATTTCCTCCCCGCATGGTATTTACTACTTAACTATGCAATCATGTCAGTGTACAAAACAAGCATCAGGGAACCTTCAGCTCGGCAAATAATCCTCTGTAACTCATTCCACTGTGAGCCCATTTGCAGGTATAGCTCAGATATTTAAGATCCAAACTGCCTTAATCCATTTGAGGACTATTATGTTGTGCTTTCTTTGTTACAGTCCTCGTTAGTGTGGCTGTTGATTTTAATGCCAGTGATTCACGGCTTTCTTGAGTGATTTCATCAGTAAATCGAGTCCCTCTAAACAGTCTGTGACTCAGATTATTATAGCTTTCACAAGTTATTATCAGCCTAAATACATATGTTCTAAAGTTAGCAGAGCCAGTGAAATGTGTGATTCTTTAAGAAGAAAGTGAAAGAAATGTTTGTGAACAGTCAAGAACACTGACTATAAAAAATGTCCCAAAGGCAGCCTGGTGCCACCTGGAAGGACAGCAAAGCAGTATGGCACACTGGTCTGGGTCTTGAAGTTTGTCCCTCGTCTTAGTGGAAAACTAGTGGTTCAGATATTATGTGTTATACTTTGAGGTTCAAAGTAATTATAGAATGCCAGTACAAATAGAAAAGGTGGTTAGGGAGAAAGCCAGGCACCACTAGAAACACTCTGGCATGTAGACCAATAAAAACTAGGAAATGGTAAGTAGAACAATTGCATTGTGTTTCCTGTTCTAAGAAAGGAAAAGAACACATTAGCCAGCTAGAAAGGATGTTGGAAAACCCATGCTATAAATGAAATAGCCCAGAGATTCCATCAGAAATGTTCTAAAAAGTGAGAAATTTAATGAGGGGGGAATCTGGTGATTATTTTGTTTACAATAATTTTAGATATAAAATGTCTACCAAGAAGTAGCAGAGGTGCTAGGCACCAGTGGCTCACAACCTATAATTCTAGCTACTTGGGAGGCTGAGATCCAGGGATCAAGGTTCAAAGCCAGCCCGGGCAGGAAAGTCCATCAGTCCATCTCCAACTAACCACCAGATTCATTTTTTAAAAAGGCAAATAAGTAGAGCTGTAGCTCAAGTTATAGGTACTATCTTTGACTACAAAAGCTCAGGGAGAGCCCAGACCTTGAGTTCAAAGAAAAAAAAATAGAGATAACATAAGTTATCATTTTTTTAGACTCAAAGGGGAAAACTGCAAAATTGAGTATACAAGGTGGTTTAGTGATACCTGATCCTTCCAGAAAAACCTTGTAGCAAAATGGTAGCTCATGCCTGTAATCCTAGCTACTCAAGAGGCTTAGATCTGATCATCGTTCGAAGCCAGCTCAGGCAGGCAGCTCTGTGAGACTCTTATTTCCAATAAATGACTCAAAAAAGCCAGAAGTGGTGCTGTGGCTCAAGTGGTAGAGCACTCATCTTGAGCAAAAGAAGTTCAGAGACAGCACCCAGGCCACAGTTCAAGCCCCAGGACTGGCAAAAAAAAAAAAAAAAAAAAATTGCATGCATTTATATTCCCTGAAGTAGACAAATAAAAGACTGTACAATCCATCACCTAGAATAAATTTTAAAGTGTTAAGAGGTTTAAATGAAAGTGATTTTGGACTTTGCCTGTGCATATTCCGTATCTACTAGAGATTCCAAACTTGGAGAGTTTTTCTTTTGTTGTGACTGTTTTTTATAATAGACCTAGTAGCAACAAGTACTAGGACTGTTGCCAAATACTACCTGAAAGGTGGACATTAGATGTACTTTTCCCATGCCATCCATCTGTTTCACCTGTACTTACTGTTTAGAAATGCTTTATTCTTTGTATTTTAGTTCATTGTGAAAAAATAACATCCTACAGAATGGCTAGAAATTAAAGAAAAAAAAGCTATGTCAGATTTGAATATTTGTCTATTTTCAGTGCTAGAGATTGAACCTATGACCTTGCACATGACAGGAGGTCTCTCCTGAGCTATACCTCCACCCTCAAGCTTTTCAGGGGTGTAACTCAGTGGTAAAGCAACCTTGCCTAACATTTGCAAGGCATCAGGTCTTTCCCTGATGGGAAAGGTCTTTCATTTAAAGTCCTTGATTAAAAAACAAAAATTTTTTAATGGAACAAAAAGTGGTTAGAGCACTGGCCCAGCAACTGGAAAATCCTGAGTTCAAACCTTAGTTATGCACACCCCCAATAAAAGAAACCAAACATTAGGATTTTTACAAAATACTTCTCAAAATATTTTAGAATGGACACTAATAGTTTATCCACAAGTGCCAGCTATATAAGTGTATCAGGCAGGTTATCCTTTTATTTTAAACCTACTAATTGAGAATATGTTAGAAATTATGAATCTTCTTAGTTGCATCTTATACGTGGGGGAAAAAACTTTCTTCTCCTGTTTTTTACTAATACATGAGTTTTCTTTCTCTAAGTCCTTGACTCACTACTATATTACTGATTTTAAAAAAATTTAAGTAGCATCTTGCTGGGAACTAGACCTTATTTATTTTTTCAGACATGAATGGTTAGAAAAGTCCATGACTTATTTTTTTATTATTTGTTGTTCTGTTACTGGATATTACTAAACCTGAAACATTTCTATATAACAGAAATTTGAGCCAACAAATAAAAGCTCAATTCAACATTAACAAAATACTATCAACCTTTGTGTTGTTAATTTTAGTTTATATTCTGTAATAGCACATACAAAAGTGATTTATCCTTCACATTGGTTAGTTATATAACAGACTATTTCTCTGAAGACACAAGTATAAGTTTTGACAAGCTACACAGATCACTAAAAATGGGTTTGGACTACCTACTGGATAACTGCCTGCATCATTTTCTTTTTTCTTAGTATTTTCTGTGTATTAGGAAGACTTGCAGTATCTTTTAAATAAATGATGAATTAACAAGAAGATCAAGATAAGGAACTGCACAACTCATACATGGGATCTTGGCTGCCAGGTTCTGCCCTGCAGCTTTCTCTTTACCTGATAACTTTTTGACTTAGAGAAATCTGAGTCACATGCTTTATGATTTGTGGCATTCTTGTAGCTTTAAAATAAATTATAGTAAGCCTTTAGTAGATGTGATGCTACCTTCACAAAAAAATGGAGTTGAGCTTTTATCTACTCTTTCCTTCATGTGTTTATATAATAATAGTTTAAAATTAAAGAGGTCAATTGTCTTCTTGAGTGAGGTTTCCCCCCAAAATTGAATAAAAAGGTGGTAGTAGTAGTCTATATTTATATTCAAGCCACTTAGATGTAGATATACCTTGGTTAGGTATGTTAGATACTGATAACTTACCGGAGAAAGAACCAGAGCTGAGTTTTTTGGAAGCTATTCACTTCTTATCCCCTATCACCTTTCTAATGAAATAAAAAAATTCTTTGGACTTCCAAATCCTGGGTTAATACAAACTTTGCTTTTGTGGAAAATGGGTATTTCCTAGAAAACAAATCTGGTTTTGGACAGAACATAAAAAGCATTAAACAAGCTAGGCGCTGGTGGCTCGTGCCTGTAATTCTAGCTACTTAGGAGGCTGAGATCTGAGGATTGTGGTTCAAAACCAGCCCAAGCAGGAAAGGCAGTGAGACGCTTATCTCCAATAAACTACTCAAAAAACCAGAAATGGTGCTGTGGCTCAAGTTTTAGAGCACTAGCTTTGACCTGAAGAGCTGAGGGACAGCACCCAGGATCCAGAGTTCAAGCCCCATGACCGACCAAAAAAAAAAAGCATTAAACAGATGATCCAGGTACTGGTGGCTCATACCTATAATCATAGCTACTTAAGAAACTGAGAGCTGAGGATCCTGGTTCAAAGCCAGCTCAGACAAGAAATTCCAGGTGAGTCTTCAATTCATCACCCAAAAGCCAGAAATGGAGATGCTCTAGTAGTAAAGCACTATCCTTAAGGAAAAAAAGCTCAGGAACAATGCCCAGGCCCTGAGTTCAAGTCCCAGGACTGCACCATTAAACAAATGGATAATGGTTAAAACTTTTAATCCTATCTGAGTATGTTGGCTTTTGGGAACTGTTGGTGTTTGGTGTTTTAGTTTTCAATTTCTATGAAATATCTCCTGGTATTGATAGCTGTGCTTACATAGTATCTATATGTGTGTTTTTATAATCTCTACTTAGGTTGACCTGACAGTTCAAGAAAAGGAGAAATATCTTAATGTATCCCGCTGGTTTTGTCACATTCAGCATTACCCAGGCATCAGGCAACAACTGTCTAGTGTTGTCTTCATCAAGAACAGACTGTATACTAATTCCCACTAGAAGCACCCCTCATCTGAAAGATACAAAAACATTGAAAACGCTTAATGGAAAATGGATTCTGGACCTCACTACTAACATAAATTGATGAGTAGTCGTTGTCTGTTAAAGCTGGTTTAATTTTTAAAGTACAAACTGGTGTCTAAGTACTTTATTTTTCTAGTTGAAGTTTTGCAATTTTTTTATGTAGAAATTAAATTGCTATCAAAAAGTTGGTATCAAGTTACAAATTACCTTGTTTTACAGATGAGATTTATTTTAATGATAGTTGCAAATCAGTGACTTAATCCTAAAAATAGGTAATCCTTTCAGTAGGTTGAAATGTTTGGCTATTTATTAACCCCTTTCATATTTTAAACTTTATTTTCCTTTTGTGTATATCTACAGTCATTTGTTTATTAGCCGCTTCAGTAAATTATGCCAAGAATACAGAAAGGGAAGACAGATCTATTTGTTTTCAAGTATTTATGTAAATGTGATTGAAACTAGTAAATGTGATTGAAAAAAGATCTTTTGTGTGCTTCCTATTTCCTGTAGTCCTCATTCATTGGGGTGAACCTAACGACTTACCTGCCCAGGGAGAATATGATACATTCATCTTGAGTCAGTGTTCCTTTTCTGTTTTGAGGCCTGTTGGAACAACAGACTTCATGAACTCTAGGCAAAAGCTGTACCACTTAAGCCATGACCACAATCCTTTTAGTTTGTTTTCCATAGAGTTTTGTACTTTTTTCCCAGGCTAGCCTTGGTCTACAATCCTACTTCCCAAGTACCTGGGATTACAAGCATTCACCACCATGCCTGGTTTACACTTTAAATAGAAATTGTTGTAATAGGAGCTCCAGTTGTACAATTGGTTAGCACGCGGGTACTTATAAGAAATTGTTGTAATATAGGAATGATAGCCAAATAAAACAGATTGGGGGGAAAAAGTGAAGTTAAACACACTGAAATCACCATACATTCTAAGATACTGTATAAAATTCCCCATTAAATAGGAGTGAAAATATTACTGATCTTATTTTATGTACAATGAGAACTAGAAAAGTTACCTGCAAGGTGCCTAGCTCACAGAAAGTGATCAATAAAAACAGATTGTATGCAAGCTTGTAAAGCTGGGAATGTGGCTTAATGGAAGCACTGGGTTCGACTCCTCAGTACCACATAAACAGGAAAAGCCTAAGTGGCGCTGTGGCTCAAGTGGAAGAGCACTAGCCTTAAGCAGTGCCTAGGTGCTGAGGACTGAGGCAAATAAAAAGATTATAAAACCATGACCTACAATTTATTATAGTCAAGTTTTCCCTACCTGCTGTCCCTGAGATGTCAATGTACTCAACATGAAACCATTTCAGACAAGAGAAATGGTAGCAGAGCATCCTTTCACTCAGATGAATTATGAAATTACTGAAAATTTGACCCTCCAAAGACCTTATTGTTAGACCTGAAATTTTGAAACTACTACAGAAAAGAATAGGGAAAACACTAGAACTTACTAGCATAGGCTACAGTAACTCCAGGAGCCCAGCAAACAGAATCAAGGATTGACAAATGGGGTTGCATCATGCTAAAATAAAAGGCTTCTTTCTGTACAGCAAAGCATACAGTCCCAGGGCTGAAAAGACAAAATGGGAGAAAGTCTTTGCCAGCAGTGTTAGACTAATAACAAGGCTATGCAAGAAGTTTTAAAAATATTTAAAGAAAACACAACTAGCCAGGTGCTGGTGGCTCACACCTATAATCCTAGCTACTAGGAGGCTGAGATCTGAAGATTGCTGTTCAAAGCCAGCCTGAGCAGGAAAGTCCATGAGATTTTTATCTCCAATAAATCACCAGAAAAACTGGAAGTGGCACTGTGGTAGAGTGCTAGCCTTGAGCTAAAGAGCTGAGAGACAGGCCCAGAGTTCAAGCCCCACGACCAACCAAAAAAAAAAAGACAAAAAGCAAATGAACTATACGTTTTATATTGTTCCAAAGAAGAACAAATGGCCAGTAAATACAACATCCCTGGCCAGAAAGGAAATGCAAACCAGAACAGCATTGAGATTCTATCTATTCTAAAATAAGGATACAAAAACATTTTAACAAGGATATGGGAGGAGGGGAATAACCCTAATTGACTGTTGGTGGGACTATTCAACTAGAGTAACCAGTTCCTTAAAAAAATGAACAGCTAGGGCTGGGAATGTGGCTTCGTGGTAGAGTGCTAGTCTAGCATTCATGAAACCCTAGATTCAATTCCTCAGTACCACATAAACGAAAAAGCTGGAAGTGGTGCTGTGGCCCAAGTAGAGTGCTAGCCTTGAGCAAAAGAAGCTCAGGGACAGTGCCCAGGCCCTGACCAAAAAAAACACAAAACACCTGGCCAGTCACCAGTTGCTCACACTTATAATCCTGGCTGAGATCTGAGGATCAAGGTTAGAAGCCAACCCAGGCAGGAAAGTCTGTTAGACTTATCACACATACATACACACAAAAGCCTGAAGTGGAGCTGTAGCTCAAGTGGTAGAGTGAATCTTGAGCAAAAAAGCTCAGTCACAGTGCCTAGGCCCTGAGTTCAAGCCCAGGACCATCACACCAAAGGAAAAAAAATATATATATATATGTATGTATATATATATATATGTATACATATATATATGTATATATATGTAAAACCTATATTTGTTCCTATGATATAGCAATATCACTCTTGGACATTTATCTGAAGGAATGTAAATCAGGATATAGTAGACACATCTGCACATTCATGTTCACTGAAGCACTACACAATAGACAAGCTGGGAAATAGGCCAGGTGCCTAAGTAAGGTAGTTGGATAGATGACAAATTATTTCATTTGCAGGGAAATGGTAGATCTGGAAACCATCACATTAGCAAAGTAAATTTCATAGAACAGGTTTGGGAAGGGGAAAGGGAGAGTGAGTGACTAGAGGTGAAGAATGTCATCAAGATGTATATATAAAGGAACATGTTAAAATGAAACCACCTTGTACGCATTGATGCTACTTTAAAAAAAATAATCTGATTCTCCAAGCCAGGCATCAGTGGCTTACATTGTAGTCCTAGCTACTGAAGAGGCTGAGATCTAGAGGACCAACTTTCAAGGTCCAGACAGAAAAATTCACTAGATCCTCATCTCCAAATTAATCAGCAAAAAACTGGACTGGAAGTATGGCTCAGGTGGTTGCATGCCAGTTGAAAGCAAAAAAGCTAAAAAAGTATACAAGGCCCTGAGTTCACACACGCGCACATGCGCGCATGCGCACGCGCGCGCGCACATGCGCGCGCGCACACACACACACACACACACACACACACACACACACACTCACACACACACTCTAATTCCCCATTTGGTCATGGCTCAAGTGCTAGAATGCCTATACAAGGTTGAGTCCAAACCAGGTTTTCAAAGAAAAAATATCCTCATGTATTTCAAACTGCTTTTTAAAATTTAAAATATTGAAACTCACACACACAAAAAAATCACAGCATCTATGTGGGCTGTTAACTTCTGCAAAGCTATTCAACCATTTGTTTCCTGCAAACTCCCAGAAGTCTGTTTTATTGATCATTCAATGACTCCCCAAATGTTTACTTAGCACCTACTATATGCCAGACATGCCCTGTGAATTATGCAAGCACACCCAATGGTGTGTGAGCAAATTCTATGGAGTATATAAAGCATTCTTTTGAAGTAAATAAATGTAATTGGTTGCCATTACTGTGTCTGCTATACTCTGAGCTCTCTTCAGAGTGTGTTACATTACCAGATTAATTTAGGAACTATGAAGAAGAGAGACTACATGCTAACCAACACTTCACTGATACCCTCATTGGAATGTATGGGAATTGTATGACTTCACCCTGTTGTTTATTGGAGTGAACAATAGTAATTAGGACAGTCATCCTAATTAGTTGCATATCCCTATTCCACATGAAGATTTGAGGATCAGACCAAAAATTCAAATGGGAGGCTGTGTGGTACTGTAATCCCGGCACAGAGGAAACAAAGCATAAATTTGAGGCCTGGCTGGGCTATATGGTGAATGATGTCTCAGGGGGAAAAAAATTCCAAATTGGGAGGGATCAACCTTCAGCTAAGGATCTATAAATTTATTCATTAATTAGAATATATACTTGCTTTAAAACAAACAGAGCAATATCACAGGTGATCTCAGCTGGGCTCTGGTGGCTCATGCCCGCAATCCTAACTACTCAGGAGTCTTAGTGCTGAGGATTGTGGTTCAAAGCCAGCCTGGGCTGAAAAGTCTCTGTGAGACTCTTATCTCCAATTAACCACTAAAAAACCAGAAGTAGAGCTGTGGCTCAAAGTGATAGAGCACTAACCTTGAGCAAAAAAGCTCAAGGACAGCACCCAAGCCCTAAGTTCAAGCCCCATGACCAAAAAAACACACACAAAAAAATAACAAAAACCAAAAATGCAGAGCTAATTCGTGAAAGAGAGCTTTGCTAAAAGTCTCTCCAGAAGAGCTAAGCAGATACACTCTTAGGAACTCTGTTGTAATCAGTTACATGGACATCATAGCAAAAGATAAAATATACACGTGTTTGACAAGTAGTCAAATTAGAATCATTGTGAATTATAGCTTTTTCATTTGTATTTCTCACTAACATTTGACTTCATTGCTCAAAAAAAAATTCAGATGTTACGTGAACTTTAATATTAATCTAGCTTGGGCAGGGATGTGGTAGTTTAATAGATTAGAACATTTAGCTTTTTACCCCAGAGTATAATATTTCTTCTTTCTCTCCATAATTAGATAATATGCTGCTACCCGTTACCAGGGCACTAAATTTCAAATTCTCCATATACCTGAGCAGGCTGCTATATATCTGACCATCTTAATTTTAGTCTTGATTTATTGAAGCTGAAATACATTCCTAACTCTTCCTGGAGCTCTGGGTGAGTTTTATTGCAAAAGCGATGGGGAGAAAGTTACCATCATATATCTCTCACGCTGGGCAGAGCTTTTAGATACACAAGGGGCTGGATATCCCACTGTTCCGTGTCTTGTATGCTGGATTTATAACACTGTGAAGCCCAGCTCTAGGGTTACAAACAGGCATATCGGAGATGAGATGGGGAATTTGATTTTGCAATAATGATTACTTGTTGTGGAACCTGCATTCCTGCAGGCTCTGCCTTTATTCCCAATACTGCTGGTGAATAAAACTAATTCCAACTGCTACCTAATCTAGCAAAGCTCATCTTTCACTTGTAAGAGAGAGGCCAAGAAAAGGTAGATGGAAAGTTAAAGGAGAACGTGAGATGGTGGACATTTTTGCTCTTCTATCTCAGGGATCTGTGCTTCCATGAGCACATTTTAGGAATATTTTCATTTTTTTAGTGTTTGTTTCCTGAAGGGGGTGGGGGTGTGGGATGAAAGCTTTTCCAGCCCAGTGAGTTAATCTGATGGCTCATCCTTGCTGTTTCTTCCATTTCAACAAGGCTGGATCCTCAGGGCTTGCCAGT